CGCGGTATGTCAGGTGAATGAAACTTACAGACAGCAATGGTATAGCAACTTTGCCTAGAAAGTCAGCACTCCGATCGCGGTCTTCGTCATAAACTGTCACTTCAAGCACCGAGTGGATGTCTTTAATATTGCTACAAAGGGAGAAGCGCACACAGAAGAGAGAAGTCACCTACACCGGTGGGTACCGAGGACAAAAGCGTGAAAGGTTAGCAAAAACAGATACCCGTCTATTCTTCTAAGCCATGGCAGAGAACGGAACTTAAGTAAATGAGGCATTTTGGAAAACCCTCATGTTTTCCAAGCGCTGCTGCGACCGCGCTCTCTCTCTCCCTGCGAGGCTTACCCAGCAGAAGTTTTCCGAAGGATGTTGCTTTAAATCTCCTACCTGGCATTTGCGCCGCATGAGCTGGAAGGAGAGCCAGCGCAGAGGAGCACTGGGGGATTTACAGCCACAAGCAGCAGGACTACGAGCCTTTAAAGACTATCCCTTAAACACTGCTACCCTTGCAGCAATTCTTACTGCAAATACTGTGAAATCCGTAAGTTTGTAAATGAAAATAGTCACAAGCTACAAGCAGCACATCCTTGCACTGAGGAAAAGCTCTTCAATTCTAAAATCCTTGCTTAATTACGAATATAAAACAGTCATTACAACAAATTAGGAGCAATACAAAATGATGCGTTTTTCAGCTACTACTGCTTTCTGCCTGCCAGCTATTAAACACTCGACCACCGTGCACAACGAATGTCACTGTACACTGTAAACTCATGTTCCTTATTCAGAGAAAATCCACAGAATTGTTTGAGAGAACTCATCTTGGATCAAATGGCTGATCCAGGAAATATGAATGCAAGCCACACACTTTAACTTCAGAAAAAGATATGCCTCCAGATTAAATTGGATTGCTAGCCCCAAAATAACTAACAAATCTAAGGATAAATAAAATAGCCAATGCAAATATACAAAGAAGAGAGGTGAAAACTCTCCTTGAAGGCCTTTTCAGTTTTTATTTGATTCCTGACTAGTCTTTTGTCCTCTACAAAACCAGGCAATTTTTTATGCAGAGAGCACTGTCGAGCAGTAGAGGTTGATTAGTTATTGCCTCTATTAGTAGATAATTAAAAATGAATTAATGAAGAATTTAGCATGGTTTTGCAGATACATAAATGAGAGCTATGTTAAAAAGCTAATGAGAAGTACAACTGTTCTGAGATTTTTTTCTTTTGTTCCGAGACCATTCCTGAGAGTTCACTGCAAGGAAAGAAAAGCTACAGATGCCAAATATATGAATGACAAATTCAGAGGGAAAAAAAAGAAAACAATTGAAATGAGGATCTGTTTTGAGACCAAGGGCAAAGCATAGTATTTTAATTTGTGACAGAGTGAAGTATGGGTACACAAAGCTAGAGCTTCTACTGGTTTTGCAGTGGATTGTTAGCTGTTTCAGCAGCAGAGAAACCCGCAACTGATCTGTTTTCTACTTACTGGTGTCACACTACAATCAGAAGCAGGGGGAAAAGACAACTGAGCAAAGACTCTAGGAACGTTTTGTTTGTGGAAGGCTCCTTTTCTATTTTGTCAGAGGCTTCTACTGTCTTCAGAATAGCAGAAGGATAAAAAGGCCCAACTGCATCTCTTCCCAACAAACTGTTTAAGACTGCATTTTACCCAATAGCAGTAGTGTGTTAGTATGATACGACATGGCATTGTGGTAAGTGCAGTTGGCAAATGGAAGGAAGAAGGGGAAAGTATCTAATCATAATACAGAGAATTATGGACGCATTTAAAATTCTTTCCTTTATACAGTTACCTATTGTTTATTCAAGTTAACAACCACATTTTAATGAAGGTCATAATCACCATATACTTTTTTCTACCCAAAACTTCAGGGCCAAATCCATCACACAAATCCAGTGTGCGATGGCTCTGTGTGATGGATCTGGCCCTTGAAACTCTCACTGAAGCCAGCAGGAGTCCGGTCTCCTTAACATTATTCACACCTGGCTTCCAAGAAAGAGACCTTGCCTTTTTACTGTAAATATGGTATTTTTCCTCTATTTTTTTTTTTTTTTTAATGTTTTTAATCCTCAAAATAGTATTCAGCAGTTTGGTTTCAAAATATCAGTATGTCATCCCTATCCTTCTTTGGAATCAGCAGTAGGTATCTTGGGTTCACACGTACATCCCCTTCAAAACACCATACCCTCCCCGCTCCTGAAAAAAATCAAACCTCAAGTCCTCCCCTCCCCTGAAACACACACAAAATCTAAACACCTACAATGTGAAGACTTTGTTCCATTCTGGGTTGAGGTTCTTGTAGATGGTATGTGTCAGCAGTCTGTCATTGTTCAATTCAACTACACAAAACGGGTCACTTTTACCTGTAAGAGAAAAATTGGAACAAAATTTATGAAATAAGAAAACCCGCCATGAGCAATGTTTAAATAAAAATTAGTTTTGCGTTTCTTTGGTTGGGTTTTCTTTTTTTCTTTTCCTAAACAGCATTGTAAATCTCTCAGGAATTAATTCAGAGAAGTCCTATGGTCTGCATTATATTCAAGATGATTGTAACAGGCTGTTCATCTCTGTAATCTATTAATATTCTTCACTAAAAGAACATCTTCTTTGTCTTTAGAAAAAAAAGAAAAGGAAAAAATCACCATACAGACCTTTCTGATGAAAAACCAGCATGTTGCTAAAAGGTGCCACGCACCCTTCTGAGACAGCTAAGAGAACTTTACTTTAATGGTGCCAATCCTGCATTGACTGTAATGGTAACATAATTAGAGCATTTTGATATGTAGGAAATGTATTATTCCATATCATTTGTAATAACATAGCACCTATGATACTTATCCAAAGATTACTATGCCCTACACGTTTCATGCTGTACAAATCCTCTCCCCAAAATCAAAAAAGCCTTAAAGACAGTCTTAGATAAAAGCCTAACATGAGAGAAAATGGGCAAGTACAATTAAACAATGAGACGCTATCAGCTGGAATGATGGGCCGTAGTCTCAGCACAGCAGAAGCTCAACTGTGGTTGAGATTTCTGTATACATTAAAGCACAATGAAGTATCTTTGCATATATGTACAAGAAGGTCCCTCAGCATGAAAGCCACAGGAGAAAGTACGAAGATGCTGCTTTGAAAATGTAGTATGTAGATAATGGAAGCAGTACCCTAGACTGGATATGGAAGTTGATTTTTTTTTTTTTTTTTAATCTAAAGAAGAAGAATGGGGAAAGGAAGTATGTGGGTGTCCTTGAATATGAAATAATTAACTTACAACTGATGACTGCAGGTAAGCAGTGCTTAGATACCAAGCAAAGAGAAGGAAAAATCATCCCGATAGAAAGTTTAAGGGAAAGACATGAAACTCAGACATTCTTAGACACCCATGAAGCCACGGTTTGTATTTGGAAAGGCGAAGGCAGCAAGTAGATACCTGAATCTCATGCTTAACAACAGCTTGGTTGTATAAAAAAGGATTTTTCCAAAGAGGGAGGAAGCAAAAGAAGGTACCTCCAAGGTTTCAGGGTAACCCTGACATTTCCTGGAAGGATAAGAAGGTGTCGCAAGGAAGATCTGAGGAACAGCTATGACGGAAGTAGCAGTAACGAAAAGGAGGGGCATGGTGAGAGGACAGTTGGAATAAACCAGCAATAAAGGGGAAACATCACAGTGTGGAGTAAAGTATTTAACTCATATTTCAAATTATGACAGCAATGACAACCTCTCTAAATGCTGGCCAAGAGATACTATCCCTCCTACCTACTTTGAATTCCTGCAGTAATTCCAGAAAACAACCTTTGCCTTTGGCACAGAACAAAAGTGAATGCATTATTTTCATGTTAGGGCTACAAATATATGAAGTAGAAAGATGTGGAATAAATTGCTGCTCTCAGAACCCAAGGGAACTTTCTCTGATGGAAATTAACAACTGAGTTGCATACTTCAGAGTGTTTTGTTCTTGTCTCTGGGCTTTCTTTGGACAGCAAAGTGTCTGAAAGTTATTGAGTGTTGGCATTGGCCTTCCACAATCAAATCTAGCGCACTAAGCAACTGTATTTCACAATGTCTTCAATAATTCCGTAACGCTTTGTCATGCATTATAAGGAGCCATAAATTGAGTAGCTCAATGGGGCTACATTAATGATATTAGGGAGGCATGTAATTTGTTTCATACCTTATACAAATGACAATGAAATCAATATTTAGACAAAGCTGTCCAGGGGTCACATCTCCCAAACTGCAGTATCGATTCAGACTACATCAGAGGTTAATGTGCATATTATTAACTTTAATGATAAAGAATAATTGTTTTAAACACATTGTGAATTACAGTCAGAGTTGCTGTTTACCTCCTCTAGAAAAGAATCTTTCCCATTAAAGGTGAAAAATGATTAATTAATTAGTCACACATTAATTCATATATCACACATTGCAATGTTTTCCTACTTCACACGCCTAAAAGGTGTTTGGAAACGTAAACGATTCATATTTATTTAGGTTCTGTTGGTTTCAGTATGTGAAAAAGAAACACACAGAAAATAGTTAAAATTACAAGGCAGACCTGACACAGCAGGTGAAGTAGGTGATACTACCTTATCTCCTTTTTTAAAGCATCATCACTCATATTTGCATATGATGGTACAACGTGATTGTGCTTATTAATCATATACAGACACAGGAAAATGCACTGCAGTGTCTAAAGGCCATCTTTTGTAAACAAAGAGAAAGTATTTACTACATTCTTTTATTTTCTGCTTCTGTTGACATCCACTTTTTCAATGACTGTCCTTATAGATTTATATGGATATCAATCCACTTAAGAAAGCTAAATAATATATAACATTGATCACAGAGGTCCTCAATCAAACCAAAGACAAACCATTTTCAGAGGTAGAAGAATCCCACTCTTATACTCAACATTTCACGTTTCCCCTCTGACTAAAACTTGAAAACAGTCTGAGAACAAATTTGACAAATGGAAATACTGTGAAATGATGCAAGGGAATGCCCAAATGTCATGGTTAACAAGTAGAAGCTTCCCAGTTATGAACACCTCTGCTAAGGAATACTGGTTTTAGCATATGAGTAGGGTATGAAGTTCCCATACACAAAGCCCTTCACCACTGCCTATGGGCACTTCTTCCATATGCTAACACACTCATAACCAAGCTGAAAGACAACACTCCTCACCAATGTGCAAACGTGATTTGGATACCAACCCAAATAAGCGAACATGATCCAGACAGACAAAGCTAGAGCAATGCACAAGTACTTGGTGAAACTCATATCCATCTGTCATCTCTCAAACTCTCATTACTAGGAAGAATAGCTGCAATCTTAACTCTCACTGGCAGCCATGGCAACCTGCTGCATTGCAGGAATGTTCAAAATAATGGGATCATTCCCAATGAAAGCTTAAAGAGAGCACTAAAATACTGCAAGACAGCATCCATAGGTCTCCTTGGTCTCTAGGAGGACCAAGGAAATCCAGGAACTTACAACATATATTCATTACTGTATTATTCAAAACCTGTACCTTAAGCAAAACACATACTCTAAGCAAGGCAGCCTCAGACAACTTCTGTCTAGTTGATTCAACTACCAATTTCAAACCAGAGATCGATAAAAGGTTTTCTACCTTTTCACAAAAAAGAACCACATGTTGAGAAAAGCACGTGCTATCCATCTAGCAGTTCTAAAACTATGCTTAAAAACCTTCGATTAGACTTGTGCTGCCTAAGCTCAATTACAGCATTCTAAATTATGTTGTCACCACAAGTATGCCTCTCATTACAGACTAAATCATGACTCTCATCAACAACCATGTATCATGTCAAGGAATTCTACCCAAATCTCTGTGTCTCCCAAGAATCTTCCTGCTAGCTCCCTGCTCCATGCCTTTCATAGGCCTCCACCTACTGTTTCAGTGACTTTATAAAATCATAGACTCGTTTACGTTGGAAAAGACCACTAAGATAACCAAGTCCAGCAATTTAGGGTAGACTTCACTGTGTTAGGTTGATGGTTGTACTCAATGATCTTAAAGGTCTTTTTCAAGTAGAACAATTCTATGACTCTATAATCCTGTGATCAGCTGAACACTGCTAATACCACCACTAAACTGTGTCCCTAAACACCTTGTCCAAACATCTCTTAAATCCCTCCAGGGATGGTGAGTCCACCACCTCCCTGGGCAGTCCCTTCCAATGCCTGACAGCCCCTTCTGGGAACACATTTTCCCTGATATCCAATCTAAACCTCCCTTGGTGCAATCTGAGGCTGTTTCATCTTGTCCTGTCACTTACCACTTAGAAGAGACTGACCCCCACCTCTGCACCCTCCTTTCAGGGAGCTGTAGTGAGCGATAAGGTCTTGTCTCCCCTGAGCCTCCTCTTCCCCAGACTGTAAAAAAACAGAGCTCCCTCAGCCATTCCTTACAGGACTTGTGCTCATAAAGATACTTACCTCTATTCTTAGAATCATGGAATGGTTTTGGTTGGAAGAGACCTTAAAGATCATCTAGTTCCACCTCAGGAGGACATCCACGAACTTCTGAACACATCCCTAAATGTGTGCTCAGTGCTGTGCAAGGCTAAGACAACCACCACCTGCTTAAGGCACTTACACATTAAAAGAGTGTTTCCAGCACCACCGTAACCAGCACTTAAAATTTTTAGCAACCCTATGACCTCAGTGGGACTAATCACTATTACACTCTTCCAAGGAATTCATGAGACAAGTAGGTAGTAAAACCAGTGAATTACACCTTCCCAGTGAATGAAATCAGACCTGCAGTAAACCTCAATAGGAAGCAAAACAAATCTCATTAATCCGTTCTGCTGCTGTCTCATGCGTTTTTGGACTCTACTCGCACAGTCGTAAGGGCTCCTGAAATGACAGAAGTCCTAATTTACATAATATGTATAATAATATGGAAGGGAAAGCAGGTTCTCTTTGGACAGATCTCCCTCACCCTTTTCCCCCCTCTTCACCCACTACAAACCTGGACCATCTGAGAATGTCCCTAAGAAGGTATTCTACCTTGTCGTGTAAGCTCCCACTGAAAAAAATTAAAGAGCTAATTATCTTTTGAAGCTTCCCATTTTATTCATCATGCCACACATCGCATTGGCAGTTTGACATGTATTGTTACTTGTGCTATGCTCTACTGTGTTTAATCTTTAGACCGTTGTTGAGACCGAAGCACAAGCTGAGATTACTTTACTTAGTTCTAAATGAAGTATTTTACTTCAACCAGCACCGCGTCCCTCGCGTTGTGCGCTATACACACACTAATTAAAACGTTAGTCTTTTATTTATCACTTACTTCTCAGAACTACCGCATGGCTCTGGACAAACTGTACGC